CCTGCTAAACTTTAGCATGTTAGAATTGTCACTGTGAGCATGTTAGCTACTGTTGATGCTTAAAGCACCAAGCATCACAGAGCTCGTAGTGTGGCTGCAGAGTCTTGTTAATGGGAAGTTTCAGTGTGTATGTATAATATGTTTTTACTTCCTTAAATTAACTGGCAGAGGTGTTTTTTCAGGGATCTCTCCCTTCAACAACTGTCTTGGTGAAATGTATTTAACTTAATTTTAGACCTACTGGGAAATTCAATGATGTAGTATTTTGGTTTCACTTCCCTTTTGCATAAAGCTACCTTTTTTAATGTTATGAGGTTTTGTTGTTGCTCTGATGTTTACATATTTTCTGGTTAATTAGTTGACTTTACATCCTTTTAAGGTGTAGATAGTCCAGTACAGAGGCTGCCCAGGGGGAGATCAGAACAGTTTCAGGGGAGGCTCAGTGAATGGAAGTATAAACATTAGTTATTACAGTAGTTATCAAAATTAGATCACATATAATAGCCTACGTGTGTGATTTGGTTGAAGAGAGTTCAGAGATAAAGTAATTTTGGTACTTTGTTTCCCACTTAGTCAGAAACTAATGCATGCCTTAGGACAGAAATTATGCCAAACAGCAATATGGTGCTATTTTGGCCTTTTCCTAAGCTTCATATAACTCCATTGTTAACAGAACAACATACATGGCAGGTAGGATTATAAACATTCAGATGATTGTGATGATAATACTCTATTGTCAGCTCAAGTCTGAAATTGTTCTTGCACAGCCGCTCTATTTGCAACATCACAGAAAAGACAAAAATTAAGGCAAGAAACAAAGAGACATTAACATTTGATCTGGGATTAAGATGAGACAACAGTGCAATTACAAGGAACGAGTAAACAGAACATAGTGTACTTGAGCAGTCAGGTTTCTCTCTTATGGCTTATTGTCAGTCAGACGTACAGTTCAAATCAGCACATAGAGTACAATACAAAATGCGCATGATGTTGACCTAGCACACACCAACTTGACTTTTTCATACCTGTGTAAACACTTCATAGCCACAGTTTAAACAGCTGAAGCGCTAAGTGGTGTATCTTGTGTTGGGTTACGCAAGGTGTAGTCCTGGTCACATGGAAACTGCTTTTGTACAGTGTACTGACATAGAGATCAATGTAGAGAGAAGACTCTGTTCTTGGCGATTATAGATAAGACTGTTTACCTTCAGTCTCTCACTCAGAGAAATACAGACCTCCAGTGTTTGCTATACACTGGAATGTGTATATTGTACCCATGAACCAATTCTTAATGTTTGGCATCTATCTATGTCTGTAGCACACTAATGCTTTTCTCAACAGAGCTCCACTAAGCTGCTTGCTATTGTCTGTCTCTTTTCTGTTTATGGTGTCCTGCGTGTGTGTGCACGTCACGATAGAGTGTCAGTACAAGGTGACATAATGGCATAATGAGACCTGATCAAACAAAAGTTTGTAGTTTTCATTTCTCCCTCCCTGATTGAAGGTGCAAAATCGCACCCATATGCACTTAAGAGCACATAAACTGAGAGGGTTAATTTGACAAATAAGATTATGGCCATGCTCTGGTTTGATCATGACCATGTTTTCCCTTTTTAATTCAGCATCAAACTTTTTTGTTGATTGTGTATTGATGACACTATCAGACTAGTACTAGTACTAAGATTTATTTTTAAAAGTATACGCCCGTTTGCATACAACACTGAGAAGTTACATTGGGAAAAAATAACAGCAGCAAAGAACAGCTATTAGTCGAGTGGTGAGATTGTTTCGCCAAAGAATGAACATTCAATGTCATCTTTAAAGCCAACACAGATAAGAGGAAGGTCGTGTGAAGCTACAGAACAGCTGCATGGACATGGTGGCGAGATTGTTTTGCCAGCAGCCACATGTCTTTTGAGAATCAATGACCCAGTTTCTCTGGAAAATCTATTATTCTGAATAAAAATTTTCAGTGGAACTATTTTCTTCTTCTGAAGTAGTTCCTAAGCAAACAGTTGACAGCATGTTCGGTGGAATATCCAAGGTAACCTGGACATAGTTTCTGGAAAGAAAGGTTTCCCTTGAACTATTTTAATGAAAATGTTGTCAGCACCACAAATGAAAATGTCATAATCTCAGATGGATACCTCAAAACCCGGCCAAGTTAAATGGCTTGCAGTCAATACAAGAAAGTGAGTTTGTGTTTTGGGTGAACCAACCTTTTAATTTGTAAGCGGCATGTAATCATATATTTTCAGTGTATAATTTCTTAAGTATGGCAGCAAAACAAAAACAAAAATGACATGATTTCACTGTCTGTTGAACAATGCATCTCATTTAGGAAGGGGACAATATCAAGCTCATTATCAGAACCCTGCTGTTTCAGAAGTGCTTGACATCGAGTCATGTGTTATCCTCTTCAGCCCTCCACTGACTGCATCCTTGCTATAATGTGTGTGTTTTGTGTGGTCCCCTCACAGATTAGCGTTTTGATTCAGGACAAAGATCCACTCATAGAACTGTCCTGAGATAACTCTTCTGAGTACTGTGGCACAGTGCTGAGGACACAGAGCAGGACTAATGGGACTGCAGCAGATTGGACGCCACTTTGTGTAGCGTACGGTGAACAGTCCATTTTTTGGCTCTGGAATGCCTCTATTACTTGTTGGTCCACAGCCTTCCCTGCACATTATTTACATTAACCGCAGCCAACCACTTAGGGAAATCCGGACAATTCTATAATCCATGCTTCATATCATCCATGTTTGAGCTAAGCTTAGAGGCTGCTTCTGTTTTATGTGTGAGTAAATCAAAAATGACTTCTGCTGAAACATCTGCTGAAAATGGCTTTTCAGCAGATGTTTGGAACACAGTAACATATGCCAAAAAACTGGAAAATATCAACAAATTTAACATATTCACTGCTCTCCATTTATAACAGAGATTCATTTTAGACTTAAGACTTATAATGATTAAGGTCAAGAAAATTTAGGATGACGTCAGTTGTATTGATATTTTTTGGGGGGGGGGGGGGGGGGGGGGGGGGGGGGTTCTGAGTTTTCTTTAGTATTTAAAGATTTGGAAGGTCAAAAGGATACTTAATTCTACCCACCACTTCACCTTGAGATTAGTGCATGAAGCTGTCATGCCAAACTGGGATGTGGTACACGCCCAGACAGTACGACCCACTGACATACGTCATTTGTATTATCACTAACTCAAGATTTCCATTAAACAGAATTGAAATGAAATGTTTGTCATGACATCCTCTTCTTCTTTGTCGGGATAGTCAGACCACATTCATTTATCCCTAAACCCTCTTTCTGTCATGATTCAATACTACCTCATTTTGGGAAGGCCAGAGCTGCAGCATGGTAGATTTACTCTTGATTAATTGTTTAGGTGTGAACATTTATTCCTCAGAGGAGCCATCTACTTTGCCCCACAAGGAGCTCTAGATGAAGTATTTTCCACAGTTACTAAACATTGGTATCGGGGAACCCCGATTGTTTAAAAAAACAAAACAAAAATGCTTGTCATTTCTATAAATGCCAAAAACGACCTATATTTATCTGACATGCATTTAATGTGTAAATTATGCAAAGGCAGAAGTACTCTAGTGTGAGAGGGGGTTGTTGTTGATGGTAAAGCCTGGGACTTTGACAAAAGAGACCACTGTTGGCATCCTATTTCCTACCAATAACCAACATTGTTTTTTTTACCATGACCACAATAATTTCCTAAACTCAACCAAGTACTTTTTGTAGTTAAGCCTAATCAAATATTAACTGTAGCAGTGGTCGATCTGACAGTTTTAACAGTTTTAAGCCACTGTCAGTCATTTTTAATGGTTTTGGGAGGCACCATTTACTGTTGTGTAGTTTAGAGGACTTGCTGTTTGTCACAGATGTCCTGACTAGTAAAAGTTATACCCAGTGGACTGAGGCACATGCCTAAGAAAGAAAAAGAGATGACGAGACAGTTGGTTTCTTTCCCTTAATTTCCATCCATTGTAATCCTTTCAGGCAGCCACACTGCCCATGCAAACATTATTAACATCAAATCCTCTATGTGTCACACATAGATAAATACCCGGGAAACATGGACAGAGTTCTGAAGAAGAGCGGGAACCACTGCCCAGTATTAAACCACAAAAGCCATCAAACTGACCTCTCTCTCTCTACTTTGACTAGTCCCTGCCAATAACACTGACTCGCTACTTTGAAATGTAATGTGTATACAAGCCTGGCTACTGTGACAAATGCACGTCCCTCTGGATGTTCACATCCACAAGTGTGTGTGTGTGTGTGTGTGTGTGTGTGTGTGTGTGTGTGTGTGTGTGTGTGTGTGTGTGTGTGTGTGTGTATACTGAATCCTTGTTTGCCTAAACGCTACCTTGCATCATCCATTAAAGCTGGGAGTCTACCTGTGTCTGTAAGGGAGAGCCTTCAGTGTGTGTGTGTGTGTGTGTGTGTGTGTGTGTGTGTGTGTGTGTGTGTGTGTGTGTACCCTGTGTGATAGATGTGGGTAGCTGTATGTTTGCTCTCACAGAGGAGGTGAGGAATATCACGGCCCTCTTCCAAACCGCCTGCTCTCCCGCTCTGCTCAGATCTGTTTATATGATCTGACTCTTGGAGACAAGGTGACGTCATCAATAATATTTTCTACCGGTCCTTCTGTATCATACAGGTTACAGTAAGCATTTGTCTGTGAATGCGTAACAGTGTAAGCTCACCGCAATATCAGTCCTCTTACTCACAACATAGCCCATATCACCAGTCTGTCAGTAGAGATTTTCAAAAGCTTGTTTTTACTTGTTGTGGAGACCAGGCTGTAGGGAAACTAAGGGGTTCTGTTCCACATGAAAAACACTTGGGCTGAGGGGGGTTCTGGTCACGGCTCTAGACTTTGTCAGCTTGACTCGTTCACATATGCTGTTAATTGCATCCCACTGTCTGTGTCTGCTTTTCCCTCTCTTGTGTACATGAAGACACAGAAACTTGTTTTCAGACTTTTTAATTATGGCCAGAAGTCAGTGCATTAACCAAAGGTGAAGACAGTGCAGAGAATCATCTGACTGTAAATTATTAAAGATCTTTATGAAAGATTGCATCTGCTGATCAGGTGTTTTGCATTGTACCAGAACATCTGTGATATCCATTGAAGGTGTGTTGATACTCACAGGATTTGTGTGAAGGAAATTTAGTTTTTAAGGGAGTCAGCTAAAGTCAACTAAATGAATTAAAATGTTTTGCCCCTGTTAGAGGTGAGGATGTTGATATCAAGATACACCCAGGATGTTTGAGAACCTACATTAAAGGCTTTCAGTAGATAGACACACAGTCTACAGACAAAAAGTGATACTAGGGATAACAGGATCACCAGTAGATTGCCTCCACATTATTGGATGCCATGAAATTCAATACAGATATTCATTGTCAACCACTAACTTTGCCCATCTACGCACAAGGCATAGCAAATTTCCAGACACAATGGAATGGCACTCCTAGAAAGAAAGTCTCAGACCTGTTTGGCAGATGTAAAATGTATATTCTAATTTAAGTAAAATAATTTCCATATGTTTCATTTCAGGACAATTTGTTTGAGTTAACATGCATCTCATTTATTAATTACAAACAAAGTAATTAACATTTATTATAATTTCTTTATTTTCTGTTATTCTGACAGCTCAGCCCTGATATACACCTGAAAGAGTTACACAACTGCCTTCAAAATGATGCACTCTTCTGTCCTTTGCTCCTTTCCAGGAATTTTTTTTGTCTTTTCTTTGTAGTTGGTGATTGATGAGTTGGCGGCTGCTCAGACCCTCAGAGAGAGATAGAGATGTGGAGAGGGAGAGAAAGGTAGGGAGGGATGTGTAAGTCTATTTCAACACTGGAAATGTGTTGCATAAGAGCTTAGCTCATTACTACATTGTAATGGAAAGACACGCTTAAACAGTATGTCAATGCCACTCCTTTACTCTCTTTGTCCTTTGGACCTCTCTGTTATTCTTGCTCTTATTGGTGCTGTTATTGCATTGATTTTGATATTTGCATATGATTATTTGTTGTCACTAAGCTGAAGGTGAATAAGCATAAGATATGTGACCAAATTGGAGAGTGCGAGTGTAACAGAAAAGACTGAGTAAGGAGGTAGTTGGGGTGGATGGAGGGCCAGAAACCGGACTTTCAACCAGGTGACTGGTGTTCGTTTCCCTTGTTAAACAAAAAGTCAAAATTAATTAGCATGCAACGTTGCTTAACTTGCGTGTTAACTGATGTATGTAGTTATTGTAACCCAAACCATGATTTTTTCCTAGACCTAACCAAGCACATTTGGTGTCTAAACCTAACCAATTTACAAATTTTCTCTACTTTTCACAACTTTAACAATGTGCTGTTTCAAAATGGCGATGTTTCGCAGCGTTAACATTTTATTTTGAAAGTCTAACCAGACATTGCATATTTATTGTTGCTAATTTCACTGGATGTTGCATAATTATTGTTGTAAAGTGTTGCTAACTTGAACGCAGAGCCTTAAATGTCGAAAAATGACGCTAAAGGAGTACAAAGGGCATTAAAAGCAACACCAGTGGTCTTGACCAAGTGTGGCAAGTTGGGAGTGAGAATGTGTTGCTTATGTTTAATTGCCATACATTTAAACTATATAAATATGTGCCTATGTCTCCTTGTGCATTTATGCCATGACATAACTTGATGTTAAATGAGCTTGACATCTGGATTGGGTTACACCAGCTTTTCGTAAATCCATCACTAATTTTGTGTGTTAGGCCTTTCATAAGTTATACTTCTAGCTAGTTTCATTTAGTGATTTTCTTAGTCTGGTTGCACGAATAAAAGTTAAGCAATGTCTTAGTTAAGACTTTAGTAAAGTGTAAAAAGGAAATATCTTTTGCATGATCCAATCAAAAGCAATTAACAATGTTAAAATAAAATTGCTGTAGCATTGCTTGGAACTTACAAAAACACAATACAAAAAATATATTAAACTTAATCACCTTTTGTTTCATGCATATCTGCACACAAGATATAATTCAGAGTTAGTGACTTTTATGAAGTTTAGAATGACAGGGAAATATCAGATTATGCAACATTTGGTTATTTACTATAACACTTGGTAATTGTTTTCTAATGTTTGTAAGTTAATTAAGATCTGGGAACATGTAACATCACAAGAAACATGAGCAGTCAGACAATAGGTTTTAAACAACCCACTGAGTGAGTCAAACTTATTTTGAAAACAAAGACTGAATTGTAAAATGATGACCTAAATTGACCATATTGAACATATTACAAACATCCATCACAGTTTATAGACCAGCTTCTTGGCTCAAATTTCACCTAGCGTACTTTTTTTGTACGCAATTTTGTACAGTGAGGGATTATTACTGACATTACTAGTGTGCTTATGTTCAGTTTTACCTCAGAAAGGTTTTTTAGATAAACCGAATAAGCTGTTGGCTTGTTTACAACCTTTTTCCTGTTTTCTGTCCGCTTATGTTTGTTGCCTTGTTGTCATGGGCTTTCTTATATCTATGTCATGATGTTAGAAGATCTTACAAATTACTTTGGTGAGTACAATGTCATAACCAACTTTTAATACGCTGAAAATGTCCATAAAAACACACATTCTCTCCACACGTGGGCCTATGTTGGGCATGTTGTTGCAAAAAGGATTTTGTCTGCATATGTGTCAACAGCCGTGTCGTCTCAAATAAGATATAGAAAGGTGCCAGCTGATTGCCATGCCTTGTGCAGCATTAGGTCACATGTCTCCCTGCCCTCAAATTCTCGAGTGTCAGTCAGGTGTCCTATGAGGGTTAAAGAGGGTTGGTGGTTTCCATACAGAATGACTGACATCTTGAGGGTTTCAGAATAGCTGGCATAGCCATCCAATTTTCTCGGGTCTCACTGTATAACAAGAAGGAATATATTTCCAAAAAGTTACCATCACAAGTAATCTCTTGGTGTTACTCTATCTACAAAGACCTTTCACAGGCATAACCTTCTGTTGTGGTAGTGTTGAGTTTGTGTTTTAATTGAAAGAAATCCCAATTTTAAAACATGGCCAGAAATGATCGGCCTGATCCCAGTGTCATAAAGAAGCTGCAGTGCCAAGAATTTAACCCTACTCTAAGCTCTCTATACCCGTTGGCACAGACTCCCAGCCAGAGCTAAGTTTTAGGAAAAGACCCACTTACTTGTGTGGAGGTGTGTGTGTGTGTGTGTGTGTGTGTGTGTGTGTGTGTGTGTGTGTGTGTGTGTGTGTGTGTGTGTGTGTGTGTGTGTGTATCCTTGTATATGTCAAGGCTTGAAGAAAACGCTGATTTAGTCATTACAATGTTATTTCCACTTTAAATGTGATTCTGCTTATTGATTTGGATCACTTCTCTACTAAGACAGAGTGAAACATAAATAATCATTCCAAATCAGATTAAATCAGATCATTCTTTTGGTCAATAGAGCTCACTTGAAATGAGATAACATTGTTTCCCAAAATTGTCTTGGCCCTGAAATGGCAGGTCTGTTGTATTTTCTTTGTAAACAAACATTCCGACAGTATCCCTGTGTCCTCTCAGTGCGATTGGTTGACTAAGCTCAAGGCCAACAAGAACCGTAAAGAGCAAAAATGTCAGTTCAGGTCAAGACTTTTATGAAAACCAGATCATCGATGATTAAAATCACCTTCCTGCCTTTGTATCTGCCAAGCAAGCCAACAAATAAGCTTCATGTCAGAGGAAAACTGCTGCAATCGTACACTACATGAAAAAAAAAATGCGTAATAGAGAACTTTTAGATTATTAAAGTAATATTATAGATGTAATAGATGTATCATGATCTTAATGGTGTCTTTGTGATTTTGGGTAGTTGAGCTGATTTGTCCTTTTTGTTGTTAGTTTATTAGAAATGCTTTATCGTGTTTGATGCAATAGCTACTACCTTGCCAAATGACCAACGAAACCTTTTTTGGTACTGTTAAATTTTTCTCACTCATAAAACAAATTTTGCACAATATGATTTCAACAATTAATTTGAAATAGTTGCCCATTCATTTAATGTCCACTAATTAATAATTCAGCACAAAGAGTGGTCTATCTGCAGTCATCCTCAGCTCCATACAAGGAGGTCATCCTCACTTATCCCACAATGTAAGTCATGATGTTGTTCAAACTCAGGAAAACCATCCTTTGACATCCGCTATCAAGAGCAAACAGTGTGAGTTAAGAGTTTTCAAGGGGCCCCAAATTGCCCAATTTTGCCTCAGAATAGCCATACATTTTTTATCACATATGTTACGTACATACGTTCGTTAGTTTTGTTAGTTAGTAAATATTGACCCTGTGTTTCTCAGAAAAGGAACTACATTTGTTTTTGTCCTACCAAATATGTGTGTGGCTGCAGTGGTATACATTATTTTCTCGATTACCTGATTAATCGTATTAATAATACTTTACTACTACTCTACAAAATTAAGTCTCACAACTATCACAAACCACTGTTGTCCAACCAACAGTCCAAAACACAAAAAAATTAATAAATTCAATGTCAAAAAAGAGAAAACTTAAACAGTTAATCAGTTATCAAAGTAGTTGCTGGTTAATTACTTTTCAGTTACTATTAGATTAATCAACTAATGTGTTAATGTGTTATTTTAAGCAAATCTGAAAAAAAAAATTTAGACTATTGTGCCACCAACACACACAACACAACACTTAACACAAAAGCAGTCTCACTTCCCTCTTTCAGTAAAAGAGAATAGCTCTTTATAGAAAGTGGATTAATTGATGTCATTTTGGTGTTCTTCCTTTTTCGTCAATAAAAACTATAAGAACACTTCTTGCTAATGGAACTTCTTTTCCCTCAAATCAGGTAAATTTGATTGTCCTGGATGCTGTTACTTGGGTCTGCACCCATTTAATATTTCACTCTCTGTAAGTAAATATACAACGAATTTCCAAAGACTTGTCAATCTGTCACTTTGCCTTTATGACAACTAGGCCAACAAATGAATACCATGTGTTTTTTTTGCTCTTTCAGCCTGACACGACTCCACTCCAGTTGTTGTTTATGTTATTTTGTTTTACTGGAGTCAAATTCCATGTCGGGTTTTAGCTGTGGCCTGCCACAGAGAGAGCAGGTTCAGAAAGCTGGAAGCATGCACTCTGCAAGTATTTGAATTATGCCATTGACGTCAGCACAGTCATAAAGTAGACGGCTGCCCTTCCCCTGAAGTATTCCCTTGCCAGCAGGCTTGTTCAGCTCAACGCAGATGGATTCAAACACTCTGTGTTTCACAGACTGGCTCTTTTGTTTGGGTATATGAGAAGCCCCCCCCCCCCCCCCCCCAAAAATACCCCACTTTAACTTAAATCCTCTGGATTATTATCAACAAAGAAACACAACATTCAAATCATGGTTTGGTTATCGTTACTGTGTGGTAATGCTGATTTTTTTTGGCAGATGTAGGATCCAGATACCTCTGGGTTTTTTTAAACCACTGTTAGGCCATGAATGCCATATGCCTATTTAGTTGTTACTTGAGGGAACTCATATTTAATCTTGATTCAATCAGGAAGTTTCATTTAGCCAATATGGACAAACACAATCAATCATGCTTTGCATGCTCACCAGTGCCAATAGTCTTTATTGGCTCAATTTGATTGTGTTATGTGGTCTGGGATACACACACACACATGTACACAGAAATACTGACATAGCATGCTTACCCATCAGAAGGAGGCATGCTGTTAGAGGTCATTTGAGGTTTGTCTCAGCTGGTCTTCATATGTTACTGGAGAGACACTGATCCTTCGTTGCACGCAAACCCCTTCGTCATAGAACCCCTCTGGTGCCTTTCCTCACTCCGCTCATCAAGTCTGCTTTGTCCCGACCTCGACCAGCCAGGCTTGGCTCAGTTTCCAGGCCTGCACACTAAATTCAGTCAAAATAATGTTAATAAGACAGTCATGTTTTTCTTGACAACGGTTCAACAACAGCTGGAAAAGTGTTGAGACCAAAATGATTTCTCATGATTGCTTGGCCTCGATGAAAATGTTATTCAGATATCAAAGCCAAGAAACAGAAGAAGCATGACACATGAACTGAGCCCGTCTAGTTGCATATCAGCCCACTGAGGTTGTTTACTTCCTCATTACTGGAAATAAAACCTGTAAAAGTGATCTGAGCCCTCGTTTAGAAGGATCATATAAGCTACTGCATCCATTTTTTCAACATGTAAAATAACTGATCACACCTCTAGAAAAAGTTGGGTAGGATAACTAACTACCTGATTTGTCTCATTTATACCTATAACGGGGTCATTCAAATTTAATAAAGGCCAGTTTTATACTCTAATTATATTTCTTTCACATTATACAAAAGGATGACATCTCTCAATCCATAAGGGACTCCTGGTTTACATCTTCTTGGACAAAACTGTGTGTCTGAGGTGCTGATCCTCGTCTCCCCTGCTTTTTGACCTTTCTTGTGACATGTGTAGGACATTAGAGTAAAGCACTGTTTCTCATTGTACCATATGAGGTAACATATTCCATCTAGTCATCCAATACTCAAAACAGCTAAAATTACATATCTCCAGCTGACTTTCTGTTGTAAGCTAAGACCTCATCTTCTGAAGGAGCATATCAAGTCATCTCATCACTACAGAATCATATCCCATTTATTCCCTTTAAATATCCCGTACCCCTTTCTCTCTCCTCCAGCTGCATGCTGGCCCATTCTGAATATGCTAAAGTTTTCCTGATGATTTTAGAAATCTGTGCTCACCTCTGACATCAGATCTCCCCCCACACAACAGTAAATTTCTATAATCGCAACTCTGGACTCTCTTTGAAACCCAAAAGAAAAAAAGCAGCATCAACAGCAACAGAAGTTTGGCTAACTGGGTTCATGGCTCCTCTGATCCATGCTAATCAACCCGAGGGGCAAATGCCAGTCAGCGTGACAATGAGGCCCATTCAATGTGGGAGTTCACCTGAGGTAACACAGACAAAGCCTGGTCTGTGGCTGTGTTTTGTGTATGTGTTTGTGCATGTACACATGTTTGAGCGCATAGAAGCTGAAAGACGCTGTGGTGAGAAGGAGCGAAAGGGGGAAAAAGAACATGTGAGAGTTTATGAGGAGCAGGAGTCAAAACAGATTGAGAGAGTGAGAGAGAGTGCAGCTCAAGGACAGGACGGTGTTATACTCAATGGTCGTCAGAGCAGAGTTGCTGAAAGGACAGACAAACAGTCTCTTTGACGTCTGTCTGTTTTATCAGGGAGAGTGAGAGAGTTGACTAGAAACCAAACATTGAAGATTATTACACCAGAACATGACGTCCAGTCAGATAGCAGTGAATACTCTATTTAAGACTGAGGCAGACACCTTGTACTTCAGTGAACCTTCAAGCTCTGTGATGTCAGACTGTCTCTCTCACATTATGCTCCTCAAGTTCACCTCCCACATGTGTAAACCACTCCCTGTGTGTGAATAAATAGTATGTGTGCAAGAAGTATCCACAGTCCAATGTGAAAGGCATGACTTTTGGATAAGTCCACCCCCCCAGCCATTTCAAACGGGATAAGCTGATCGTAGTTCAAATTTGACACAATAGCCCTCTGTGTGGCTCAGTTGGAACTGAAGCCCAATTTAGCGTGGATTGATATCAGGAATACCCATTGTGCATATCAGTGATTTTAATCATTACAGATTACATTTTAACCATTGTCGGCCCTTTGTGCTCATTTAATTAGTCGGTGGACACTAAGTTAACCTGCAACCGTTTTGGTAATCATTGTATTGTTCAGATCATATTGTTCACGGAAAAATGCCAATAATTCATTGGTTCTACTTTTGCAATTTTCTGTGTTTTTTATGTAAACTGAATATCTTTGGGTTTTGGACTGTAGGTTGGACAAAACCTCACCTTCGGCTTTACTAAATGTCTGTCTTGATGGGACTTAAATCAGAAGAAGCCCAACCAGTATGCCAAAACACAATTGGGACTCAAATTAATACCGTGAGAGAACAATCACACCATATACACTCCAGGCAGGATTAAAATCACTGATGAGCACATAGGTAATCCTTTTCGAATGGGGCTTAAGGGTCACATTTAAACTTTTTGTGGGCTCACATCCTCATGAACTCCTGTAATATCTCACCAAGAACACATCTCTCACAACCCGAGAACTTTCTGTTTTCTTACTCCACCTGGATGTAGACAGTTTGATTGACATGGCAGAACCTTTTTCACTGTTATTACAAGGATTTTGCAATCGATCTGGTCTCACTGTCCACCCTTTGGGAATTCTTGAGTGCTGCCTGGATTTATAGCTTTCTGTGTTGTTTTCCACAGAGTTCTATAGTACAACAGGAATGTGTATGTTATAGGTGGGACTGTGAAAACTGTGTATAAGGAGAGTGGGGGAAAAGACCAAGCAATTACCATATCGGGGTCTAACAGACACAGAAGCACACACATGCATGGCATTGTCACATGTGACCCATTCAGATTTTCTTTTTGTTGGATGTTTTGTGGTCAGAAATTAAGAGAGAGAACCAAAATTCAGTCTGGAAGTCATGAATGTGAATCTGCTTGATTGTTATTGTAGCCTAGCAAAAATTCCTTCATAAAAAAGCAATTTTTGACTTAAATTCTTCTCCATTTTACAATCTCATTTTAAAATGTATTTAACCTTAATTTACATTAATTTACATTTTGGGAAAATACATTTATTCACGTCTCTTGTTAGATGAACATTGATACCGCTCAAAGATTTTTCCAAAGCCTACTAATTAAACAACATGTTAATCTGTACACAAACAGAAATGTTAAGTTGTCTTCTTTTTGTGTATGGATTAAACAAATACATGTTAATTAGTGAACTTTATAGGTGCTGGTACTGTAAGCTAGCTTTTCCACTCGCTAAGCTAAGCGAAACTAAGCAACACTTAGTTCTAGTTCATACTTAATGCACAGACATAAGAGTGAATGGGCGTGTTTCCCAAAATGTCAAACAGATTCCCTTAACCAGATAAGTCCTTATAGAGAACAGGCCAAGATGGCATTATAAATTTTTTTTAAACAAAACAACAGAAACTTACCACAGAAAAAGGTCAAAAAAAGAACAGAATAGAGACAAATGTTATTTACTGTAGAAGTCCTGCTTTCATTTATTTTTCTTTCAAATATATAAAGGTGAAGCCGGGACACAAAAGAGACAAATATGACTACATGTACTTATAGCAGTCGTGCTTTAGCCTAATCATCACATTACAACACATCAGAATTTGTAATCAGTGTCCAAAATGTGTCACTGTGCTGCAGGGTCACCACATGAAAAAGGCACCAGTATGCATCCCAGAGTGATAACTACACCCATTAAGTGTCCATTGAAGCTTTGCTGCAAATTCAGTGGTGAGGCATGTGCAAATCCTCCATTGCAACAGAATGTCCAGTCATTATTTCTCTCCCTTCTGTTTATAATTCACAACCACAGTGTAACAAAATCCTGATACTATCTATTGAAACATTATTTGTATTCCGACTCCCTGTAAATCAGATAAATGAACTCTAATGAAACATAGACTCATGATGTAATTTTGCCACTTCTCAGAACCCAGCTCAGTGCTTCAATCATCAAATGTTTCAGGGCCACATAACATGCTAAAACCACAATCTCCCCCACCACCCTGCTTTCCTCTTTTCACAATACTTGTCAATGATGGATTTTGCAATGCTGCACATGTTAAGTCATAGTCCAGCAGAGTAGTGCTACACCAGCTCTCTGCCTCACCATACCATCTCTGGTACATCTCTTAACAGCCCCCACCCCCTCCTCTCCCGAAAGGGTTTCAGATCAACTGGTTCTCTGTTTCTTGTAAAGTGAGAGATGCCACTAAAGAATGGCCCCCCCTCCCTCTGTCTCTCTCATTCAGGAACCTGGCACTGCTGCCAATGGACCTACGAAACAAAGTTTAGTTTCTCTTTCTGCATGTTGATATGTTTACACCGATTCACTGCAAATGTGTCACCCTTCAAAACCTAGATGATTACGTGATGAATTCTTGGTCAATAAACTAAAAGCAGGAATTAGTATGAGTTTGTTCCTTGCTGACCTGTTATCCAGTGTGTTTATCAATGAGTGTGTGTGTTTGTGCATGGGTCAGTGCCTGTAGGTAATCTCTGTTGATGATTTAACCTCCACAGCGTCATATAGATTTTGGCTGCTGATAATGTGCGGCATCTAGCATCACATCACCGGCAGGAAACTGACTGTATCCCCATGAGAGGATGACAGATGCAGCGCTCTCTCTCTCTCTCTCACTCACTCTCACACAATGCGTACTACATATACAGCATATGGCATATGTTGCTATAAGATTATTTAAGGACAAGAGTCCCCAGGGGATGTCAGACCAGAGGAGTTGAAGCTGTGTGTGTGTGTGTGTGTGTGTGTGTGTGTGTGTGTACCTGTAGAAGAAGTCTCTCATAAAGCTCTATGGCCAGAAATTTACAGATTTTTGAGAGACAAACCACCATTAAAATCTGGCCATTTAAAAAAAGCCATTAAGCATATTAGGGGGAATATATTGAATAAAACAAAAAATATTCCCTGAAAGAAAACAAATATTGAAGGATTTTGAAATATTTAGTAATGAACCATTCCACACAATAGCTATTCTTACTGGGAATTAACAACTGAAGTACGTAACTAACACAAAAAATATGTGCTACCTAGGCAATCACAAGAAAAACACTCAGTGAATCATGGAAGAAAACAATAAGAGGAACAGCTGTAGAAAACTGCTATTTGCTTCTTGCTTTGGATTTCATTATGTGTGTGTATTGTAGATTATTCCTGTTTTTTTTGTCCAACCCTGTCTCGTCTTACTCCTGTATATTAAGCTATATTCATAGAAAATACCCATACATTTAAAAAATGTTATTACAGAAGGTTTTCAGGTGACAAGTTTGCGTAGACAGTATGTTTGTTTTACCTCTTGTTGATCATGCTGGTTCTGTTGACTTTGTGTAGGAAATTCTGGATCTTACCGAACTGAATAAAACTGAACATTGAATCTAGAGAGAGAGAGAGAGCAAAGATCCTATTTCTCCTAACCCTCCCTGCCTCTGCAGCCTATTGGCCCTGCCTCCCTTGGCTGGAAAGTACACATTTGTATGTTTGTGTGAGTGCAGTAATGTGACATTTAAGTTGTTGTGTATATACAGTACACAGGTGTGTAGGGGTGTGTGTGTGTGTGTGTGTGTTTTTGACTGGATTGTACATGTGTATCTGTGTGTTTTCCTGTCTGCCCCTGTGGGACAGACACTGTAGGTCTGAGCGCTGATCAGAAAGGTCCTTCTGTCGGGGTGGAGGCGGTGGAAATCCCCTATTACATAGTGGTGTTAGTGTTAGAGTGTGTGTGTGTGTGTGTGTGTGTGTGTGTGTGTGTGTGTGTGTGTGTGTGTGTGTGTGTGTGTTAATAGACATTTGGCTTTTGAATGCTGTTTCCCCTGGTCCATCTGAGGCCACGAGAGTGCACAGAGTAGACTGCTGTAACTAAAGTAATTGCTGGCATATAGCTAACATGCATGCATCTTCTAAAACAAGTGAGAATTGGCATGTATTTGTTGTAACAATTTGGGAATTAGTATCCATCATACCTAAATACATATTTTCTTTTGTATGTATGAATGTATACTGTAATTCAGTTACAAGTAAAGGTTAACATATTCATGTCTTGCATTCATTTCAGTTGACTCTGATTTGTCTTTTAGCTGCAGAATTAAAACAGTGACTTGGTTTACTTGATGGTCATTTACATCCCATTTTCCTATGAAGTGGAATAGTATTGAGAAATAACAGAGTCAATGTCCAATGCCTCAATGCTTTGCACATAAATCTTTGTTTTTTTATTTGACTGGTGGTAAACTGGGGTAAAGACTGGTATTGACCTGCTTGCCAGTAGGGCAAGGATCAAATCTGTTATACAAGCGTCATAGTTAAGTGGCTCTGGAAACTTCCTAGAGAATGGATTTAGTATGTGGGGACCCACAATAACTTAGCCTCATGAGTTTGAGGTCCTGTCCCACTAAACCAGATTTTAAGGCTATGTACACATTTTTGTGTATTTTGAAATCAAAGTCATGAACGTAGTTAAGAGCTAAAGCAATCAATCTAGCAATTACATTTTACCCCAGATGCAGCCTCACTACAAAACACAAACACACTTCAGTATGTTCAGTTCAATCAGTATGTGAGCACCTTTTATTGATCACATCAGCATTCATCTGCCCTGCACTGTAACCCAATCCAGTGTTGTAAAAATATTACAATGTCATCTTTGAGAAGTCATATTCTTCTGTCAGCTTGGTTTGGCAAATGCTTCTAAATACCACAGTGCCCATCAGGCTTAGTAGTTGTTGTTATGGCCTATCACCTATACAGGTGCTGGTCATATAATTAGAATATCATCAAAAAGTTGATTTATTTCAGTAATTCCATTCAAAAATTGAAACTTGGATATTATATTCATTCATTACACACAGACTGATATATTTCAAATGTTTATTTCATTTAATTGTGATGATTAAAACTGACAACTAATGAAAATCCCAAATTCAGTATCTCAGAAAATTTTAATATTACTTAAGACCAATTCAAAAAAAGGATTGGCCAAATGAAAAGTATGAGCATGTACAGCACTCAATACTTAGTTGGGGCTCCTTTTGCCTGAATTACTGCAGCAATGCGGCGTGGCATGGAGCCGATCAGTCTGTGGCACTGCTCAGGTGTTATGAGAGCCCAGGTTGCTCTGATAGTGGCCTTCAGCTCTTCAGCATTGTTGGGTCTGGCGTATCGCATCTTCCTCTTCACAATACCCCATAGATTTTCTATACGGTTAAGGTCAGGCGAGTTTGCTGGCCAATTAAGAACAGGGATACCATGGTCCTTAAACCAGGTACTGGTAGCTTTGGCACTGTATGCAGGTGCCAAGTCCTGTTGGAAAATGAAATCTGCATCTCCATAAAGTTGGTCAGCAGCAGGAAGCATGAAGTGCTCTAAAACTTCCTGGTAGATGGCTGCGTTGACCTTGGACCTCAGAAAACACAGTGGACTAACACCAGCAGATGACTTGGCACCCCAAACCATCACTGACTGTGGAAACTTTACACTGGACTTCAAGCAACGTGGATTCTGTGCCTCTCCTCTCTTCCTCCAGACTCTGGGACCTTGATTTCCAAAGGAAATGCAAAATTTACTTTCATCAGAGAACATAACTTTGGACCACTCAGCAGCAGTCCAGTCCTTTTTGTCTTTAGCCCAGGTGAGACGCTTCTGACACTGTGTCTTGTTCAAGAGTGGCTTGACACAAGGAATGCCACAGCTGAAACCCATGTCTTGCATATGTCTGTGCGTGGTGGTTTTTTGAAGCACTCCAGCTGCAGTCCACTCTTTGTGAATCTCCCCCACATTTTTGAATGGGTTTTGTTTCACAATCCTCTCCAGGGTGCGGTTATCCCTATTGCTTGTACACTTTTTTCTACCACATCTTTTCCTTCCCTTCGCCTCTCTATTAATGTGCTTGGACACAGAGCTCTGTGAACAGCCAGCCTCTTTAGCAATGACCTTTTGTGTCTTGCCCTCCTTGTGCAAGGTGTCAATGGTCGTCTTTTGGACAGCTGTCAAGTCAGTAGTCTTCCCCATGATTGTGTAGCCTACAGAACTAGACTGAGAGACAATTTAAAGGCCTTTGCAGGTGTTTTGAGCTAATTAGCTGATTAGGGTGTGACACCAGGTGTCTTCAATATTGAACCTTTTCACAGTATTCAAATTTTCTGAGATACTGATTTTGGGTTTTTCATTAGTTGTCAGTTATAATCATCAAAATTAAAAGGAATGAACACTTGATATATATCAGTCTGTGTGGAATGAATGTATACATTATACAAGTTTCACTTTTTGAATGGAATTACTGAAATAAATCAACTTTTTGATGATATTCTAATTATATGACCAGCACCTGTATATCAGTGGAATGGTGTGAAACCATTGGCAGGACAGTGCATCACATTACATGCTTGTATTTGTGTGAGACAAACAAAACAGGGACACAGTCATAAAAAAACAAGCTCCACAGTGTTAATGTACAAGAGGTCAAAAACTACATTATCTGTTGCAAAAGGGATCAAAAACACTGTGCCGTTATTGTTGAATTCATATACAACACTGACCCAGTTAACTGATTAAAACTGCTGAATGGATTAGCTTTTCATAAGCAGTGCAGAATTTTAAAGCTGGGGTAGGCAATTTATTTCAGAAATCTTTTTGTTATATTTTTTGAAATCCTTACTGTAATCAATAAATAAAATTCTCTGACACAAAAATGAAAAAAAACAACAACTTAAATCTGTCTCTTGCATAGACTGTATATATACACTCACTGGCCACTTAATTAGGTACACGTTGATAGTACCGGGTGGACCCCCTTTTCCCTTCAGAACTGCCTTAATTCTTCATGGCATACTTTCAACAAGGTCAGAGACTTTGGTTCATATTGACATAATAGCATCACACAGTTGGTGCAGATTTGTCGGATGCACATCCATTATGCGAATCTCCGTTCCACCACATCCCAAAGCTCTGTTGGATTGAGATCTGGTGACTGTGGAGGCCATTGCAGTACAATGAACTCATTGTCATATTCAAGAACCAGTTTGAGATGATTTTAACTTTGTGACATGGTGCATTATCCTGTTGCCATCAGAAGATGGGTACACTGTGGTCATAAAGGGATGGACATGGTGAGCAACAATACACAGGAAGGCTGTCGTATTGAAACGATGTTGGTATTAAGGGGCACAAAGTGTTCCAAGAAAATATCATGCTTTCTTGTTGTTTACGCCAAATACTACCATCTGAATGTCGCAGCAGTAATCAAGAAGCAGCTAGATTGCTTTGATAGCAGAAAAATAAAAAATAAATAAATTGATAACAGCTGGTGCTGAAATAGATCTTAGTCATGACAGCTACAGTTACTCACACAATCACTTCTTCTTAAGTGAGTCTTAAGAGTTCTGAAGAACATATAAAAGAGTCTCCGGCCTGCTTGACACACCTCTGAAAAAGTCGTGAGTAAACGTGTAATCAGTTCAATTCAATTTGTTTAACAAGGGAGAAAAATATATCTGCAGTTAGCTGGAATCGATTTTATAACCTACTTACCGGGAGCCCCGCAGAGTACCGACTGAGCTAAACGTGCACATGATTTGAAATAATTTGACTTTCAATGGCCCGCCATATGACGGATTGAAAAAAATTTGGCCCGATGCCAGACTTATTTGCCAATCGCTGCCTTGGAGTATCTTTTAGTACAGCCAGCACTGAAAACACCCAAAAACAAGTTCATGGCTAGTTAAATTTACACTGTTTTTACCACAATTTTATCCTAATTGGGATTATCATTTGCTAAATGCACAGCATGCTGTATTAAAGAAGACTTGAAACTATAGATTGAGACCATAAACACATTAGGAAGTGTTTACTGAAGTAATAAATCAAGTGAGAAGTAGTATTTTCTTCTTATAAGCTTTGTGATTTTATGTTTCTATTTACACAGTCATTTACACCTTTCACTTTTTGTCAAAAAACCTGATATTTTTTTGAGCATTTATGAAAAAATGTTTTGATTCTTGATCGGTGGACCCTTAGCCTAACGGAATATAAATAATTAAGGAATGAACACATATTCAGACTTTGTGACTGCTTCAAAAGGGAGGGAGTGACCACATTCTTTTGTCTGTTGTTTACCATGCCAGTACATTATTATACTTTGCTCTTGGCTTTTGTAAAATGAACTGAACGATTGAATTGTAGAGAATCTAATGATGTGTAGCATGCCCCTATTGACAAAAGTTTAAATATATTACATTTATTATATTATATTTGTATGTGTGTTCTAAGCTGCCTTAATCAGAGCTTGGCCTTTTATTGAAGTTTATGGTACAGTCTATGTCCTGGATACTGAATTACTTTTTATCATTACTGCACAGGATAAAAATATGGTTGTTTCATAATCCCTTTTTAATTTTAAAGGAGGTCAACATTAAGTCTATAAAACATACATTACCTAAGATCACCTATGTTACTTTCT